CTGAGCGCGAAAACTTTATTTTAAAAATAGTAGAAAAGTTTCAAAACTTGAAAACAAGATGGCCGACCAGCCGCGAGTTTTCAGTTTTTTGAGATTTTAGTCATCAAAACTTCATTTAAAAACAAAAATAAGGTAATATTTGGCTTAAAAACTGGTTAAAAACTGCATCAAATGAGGTACCTTTGAAATTTTTCAGAGAAATGGAAAATTTCGACAATGACGGAACCGTCTAAACATATTTATTGCGAGAGAATAACAGAGAATATTGTTAGACTAGAAATATCATTTGGTTTAACAGGAAAAGAGTCAGTTCTATGATGATATTAAAAAATGTAAATAACATTGATATATTTTCATATCGTTGAAGGTTCTTCGTAAGTTAAGCTTATCGTATATTATCTATTTTCATTCTGTCAAACGTATTTGAATAACTAAAGAGTAAAGTCGATACTTATCGATACTTCTTGATATTTAAATTAATACACGCGAGTAAATCAGTCTCTCTGAAATACAATTCCAATATGATCGTGAAAAGTTACAGGATGATGAAAACTAAACAGTATAAAATAATTATTTTTCTGCTTCTGAAAAAGAAAATTACTCACCGTACAAAATACACACTGTTGATGTAATGTGAAAGATTTATTTATTTTCTAAAGAATATTTCGCTCTCATTTTCTTTATGCCTGATAAGAACAGCAAATGTGACGGACCATTTTTTTTTTCTCTAGTCATAGCAGTTTATTTGTACATTACTTTATCGCGCTTATTCTTTCTAATAGAATCAAATCGAAGATCTTACATTTCAAAAGTTTTCCGTAGAATTTTATTTTATTATATAAGAGAATCCACTAGCCACTCCATTGTATTGTGTGTATGGTCACGAGTTAAATAAAACGTATGTCGGATGTTGCCGATTCCATATCGTATCTATCGTTGATGTTGCGCTTTTATTACATGAGTGTTCTTCAATTAACAATCTATTTAATATAATACCACTTGTAAAATCTAAATAGAACATTTGTCAATGTACTTGTTATATCAAATGAAATCGTTCGTTGTTGAACCTGTTACGATGAGAAACTTTTTACTACCTAAATGTACCAGATTTGTCAAAATTTATTCTGATGGTTTATCGTTTGTCAATGACGATGTGGTTTAAAAACGCTGCGTGCAGAGGGAATCTTTAACTACATACTAAAAAAATTTATTCAAAAGCAGACCGCTTCATCTATTAAAAATCTACTTGTATTGTTATAAGAGGACAAATTTTGAGAAGTAACAGAATTAATTTCGTTAGGTAGAACTATCTACGGTAAAGAGCATTTAACTAATTAGATGTGCTTTGATTATATATAGACATATTCTTACTCTCTCTCCGCAAAGTGCAGTTGTGGTAATCAACAGTTTTATGATTGAATAAATAAAATGCATCATTCAGAAAATAGTTCTTACGGTTTACACAGAGAATATGTTAAGATAAAGAAGACAATTTTCTTCCGTTTTCAGGGCGACTCCGGGCTCATCAGACTCGTTGCTAGACTGTAACTCCAGCTGTTAAGATATTTCTCTAGTAATAAATGGAGTATAATTATAATGATTTTCGAATGCTGTTTTTTTAATATAAACTTTATTAAAGACAGAAAAAAAAGTTAGTACTATCACACGAAGAAAGAGGCAAGCCCATTCCCAGGTCGAAGAATCTTACTGTAAGATCTTATAAGATTCTTGTACGATTTCGCTAATTTCGTAAGATTCGTATTTACTTTTATTATTTTTCACTGTTAGTACAGCTGAAGTTGAAAAATGTTTAAAAGCAATTAATATTAGTAAGGCTACAAGTCAAGGTATAAGTTCTAAGATTTTGAAAGAAGCTGGATTAGCAATAGTTGAGGATTTAAAGCACATTTGTAACGTTTGTCTTACCTTCGCCGAGGGCTCGAGCCCTCGGAAAATGGCACTCTGGACCCTCGATATAAGCTTTCGAGAGATACTTCCGAGTCCTCTAGAGCGAAGGCTCGAAAGTCCCGAACATGGCACCTTTGGGCGACCGAAGCTCGGAAGTTCCGAACATCTCTATTCGATGGCTCGAAATTTTTCTCGAGGGTTCGCTACCTATCTGAAATCCGAGGGCTCGAAATCGATACCCCACGAAAGGTTATATCGAGGGTCCGAAGTGCCATTTTCCGAGGGATCGAGCCCTTGGCGGGGGCCTATTTTCGAGTACCCGCCGCATCCCTCGAACGAATTTTTTTCATCTGCATGGGGCATTTTCTGTCAGTTAAGTAACTTTCAAACCATCTTAAAAGTGCAGGCTAACATCGTTTCGTTTTAATTTATAGAAACCCTGTAAAAGAAGATTAATATGGTACAGCCTGCTAACAAGCCTGCCATTCAATTCTAGCAGGCAAAACTCTCACGAACAGACCTGTGCGGGTCTGTAGGGAATATCCTGGTAGACCTTGGAAGACCTGCGGCAGACACTGTCACATACCTCTGCTGCATTCTCTCAATATGCCAAACGTTGTCAAAAGCTTTTGCAAAATCAGGAAAAACTGCCGCTGTAAATTTCTTAGAGTCTATAAATTTTCTCCTATTTCGTGCACTAAATCAACTAACTAGTTGTTCGTTGAATCTCCTTGAATGAAACCTGATTGTAACGGTGTCCACAACTGATGTTTTAACATGCGCATAAAGCCTATTATAAACTAATCTTTCTAGGATCTTGGATATAGCAGGTAGGAGCGTGATAGGTGTATAATTTGTTGGGAGAGTGGTATCACCATCTTTAAAAACTAGATGTATTAATCTAAGTTTCCATTTTTCCGGATAAATTCCAGAAGTAAGACAAACGTTACAAATGTGCTTTAAGTCCTCAACTACTGCTAATCCAGCTTCTTTCAAAATCTTAGAACTTATACCTTGACTTGTAGCCTTACTAATATTAATTGCTTTTAAACATTTTTCAACTTCAGCTGTACTAAAAGTGAAAAGTAATAAAATAGGAGTTGACAAAAGGAGCTGGGTAGATGGAATAAATTTGTTATAATCAGCTGAAGGCATTGTACGAATATTCGCAAGGTGCTCATTTTAAATGTGAAGTTTCATTTTGTCGTCTGACCATTTTTGATTATTATGATCTTTCAATTCAGAAATTTTAGTAGAGCACTATCGATGAAATAATATTTTAACTAAATTTTACCTTGATTTTTTGATGCATTAGTCTGACGAATTTTGTTTAAATATTTGTCTTTTTCAAATCCGTTTGACGCTTTCAAATACTTAGCCTTAGAAGAAGCTAAAGAATTTGATTGTTTTTGTTTTCTATATAGATATTTTTTCTGAGGAAAAAGTTGTCGCAAACTTTTATCTAACCACGACTGGTGAGACGAGAATATTTTGACTATTTTGGAAAGAACGCATAATTCGACTGCATTCATTATGCAAGTTTCTAAGATTTCTACCTACTTATTCACACAAACTGACTGTGTTGAATACACTAAAATGTTGTAAAATAAAAACCTATTATAGAAAGCCTTCACTCTAAGAAAATCTGCATCTAGTAAGATTTCTAAGCCGATTAATTAGCTCCTCGTCAATTGGTCTTGAAATAAGAGAAATCAAAACGTCTGATTTTGAGATCTTACTTTTCTCTTATTACTTTTAGATTTTGATTTTTAAAACTAGTCATATTAAATAGGATCATTGTAGAAAAATTCTTGCATATTTCTTAAACTTATCTTATTGAAATGTTGATAAGATAATCTAGAATTTGGATAAGATTCGATAATTGTTCATTCATTCACTCTTTTGTTATGCTCTCATATATCTGTGTTACCGACACTGAAAACAATTGAATTATACGTTTTCAGACCTCATTCGTAATTATTCTCTCAAAGATGTGTATACAACAACTCTTCATGTTTACAATGTAAGCCAATGTTCAATAATAAACGTGTTCTCATTGTGAGACTTAACGAAGGGTTTGGTACAGTTCTCGTATTGGAACAAAATTCTGGTAGAAGAATCAAAATTTCAGAATTATTCACGGTAGACAACCATTTTTCGTTATTTCTGGTAAGAATCTTATCGGATTCTTACATAAGAAGTCCGCACGAAAATGGCAAGAATTTCGTATGAATCCGATAAGAATCAAGTAAGATTTAAATAAGAATGAGCTATTTGATAGGACGTTTCTATCACTTTTTTATCACTTCCTTATGAAATTCTTATTAAAAGCCAGATACCATTTTATTTTGCAGAAACACATACTACATAAGCACCACTGATTTCTTTGAAATTTTTTCAAAGTTTGTTCAAGGTAGGTAAGACTGGTCGATTTGAAAATGCCTCGCAACTTCTTACACACTCACGAATAAACTATACAGCTCACTAAAAAAGGAAAAAAACCATTTGAAGTTTTTGTCATTTCTTGACCTTTTCCTGTCGAATTCTTACAGGATTCTTAACTGATCCTTATCTGCTTTTTATCAAATTCTTGTCACTTTCGTGCAGACTTCTTATGTAAGAATTCAATAAGAATCTAATAAGATTCTTGTACGAGCCGTAGCGGATTCTTATAATTTTCTTATCAGATTCTTTTGTAAGAATCGATTACTAGGGCAGACACTGCTGATATCTAAGAAAAGTGTATCTACTTTTTCTCAAAGATCATGCACTATATTTTCTACTTATTTTATCATTTTGTCAGATTGGAAACAACAGTGTTAGATTTAATTTCACCTATATCTGCCTTGACGTACATAAACTTTCCTCAATTCGTCTTTGAAAATTTATTTATTAAAGAAAAAAAAACAAAGAATTACTGCGATCAACAGAAATTATATTTAAGATCGATTTAGGAGTGATGGGATGTGAGAACTGTGTTCTCAAAAAAAAAAAAAAAAAACGAATCTAAAAAAGAAATTCAAGAAGACATGATTTTTAACCATTGCTCACACTCTCACACAGATATTTATTCTAAAATGGAATAATTGTCATTAATCCGATTCATAAAATGAAATATTATTTTCTCTAAAATAATCATAAATTTTCTTTCTCATATCTTTAACATCTTGCATAAAACCCACCAATGTGACAGAATTTTGTTTTACTTGTAAAAGAACTTTTCGTCGACGAAATTCTTTTGTATATAATTCTTTAATATATTTTATCCAATGTTCATTTGATAAAAAACGTTTATCATCTTTATCTAACATAATTTGTCTTACACAAATATCATCACGTAATCGTTTATAAACTTGATCACATTGATCTTTTGTTAAAGAATATAATATTAATTTTGATGGTGAAGATATACCTGTAACAGTTTGAGATGAACTTCCTCGTTCAATTTCATATGAACAAACATGATCTAATTTTGCCAAATTACTAATAATTAATTCAACTAGAATAACACAAAATATATTATCTTTAGCAGTCGTATACTCTCTCTCTCTCTCTATATATAAAGAAAACTATACCTGTATCAGGATTTGATAGAAAAATGGCCATTTCTCTATTAATTTTATATTCTCGTTGTAATAAATTTTTTAATATTGCTTCAAAATAACCCTTACATGTTTGAACTTCATCGAAAGGACCAATTAAAATAATTTTTCGTTGTATTCGATCTTGTTCTATTTTTAAATTTGTATAGGATCGTTGTGCTAAATCAAAAAATTTCATAGATAATAAATCCATTTGATAATGTCGCAAATGATCGATTGAATCAGTTATTTCAGTAGAATATTGTAAATTTTGAGTAGAAGATGAGAGTGAATGATTTTTATTGTTAATTTTTGACGGAATCATATGGAGTAATGATGATGTTGGACGATGAAAACGATTTGACATTTTTGTCGATTGTTGTTCTTGAATATTTTCACTACTATCATTAGCAAAATTTACTTTTGGATCTCTTGTACCAATTCGTTCATAATTTCCATTCACTTGTCTTGTTCGATATAAAATGCCCTGATTATCAATAGATGGTGTAATTAAACTTTGATCATCATGATATGAATCACGTTTTGATGTTGAAGGAATAGTTATTGAAGCCAATTTTGATGGTAAAGCATTAGTATTTGGACTATACATTTGTGGAGGTGTTGATATACCCGAATGATATGGAATTTGAGATTGTGTTACTAAATCGGTCAATTTTTGATTAAGTTCATTCATGGCTTTTTCAAGATTATCTTTGAATGTAACAAGAAATAATTCGTGATTTTTTGAATTTTTTGAAATTTGGAACAATTGTGTATTGTCTTTTGTTGACATATCACTTAATTCACGTATAAGAATATCTTGTGTTAAACCATTTGCTAACGTATAGGGAACTGTTCGAACAATTAATTTATCTAAAAATTGTTCAATGAATTCTTGAACTTCTTTTGTCCATTGAGCACGTTTTTTTAATAGAACATAGTTTGTCGTTGGACCAACGCATGTAACATCTAATCCATCATTTTTTAGCGATATTTTTCCATTTATAGTTTTTAATTTCTCTCTTAAATCTTCCAATAGTGGTCGACTTTTTAAAATGAATTCGTATCGGATATCATCCTGTGATCGAAAATGCAATATTTCCGGTAATTTAGCTGTGTCAATGTCAATAAAAGGTTCTCTAACAAGCAAAAATATTAGATAGAACAATGATAAATGTGATATTTGATCAAATATTATACTTACATGCCCATATGCTCGTAGTAGACACGAACATCAAGTCGTTGCTGATGAATAACATGTTCACGTTTCAATATACGACGGGCATCTAAACAAAAGTATTCATTTACATTCCGAGCCAAAAACATAGCGTTCCTAATGAGAATTAAAAATGAATTTGTATAGAATCTTCGATATCACAATCATACTATAATTTCTCTTGAGTTTATTCAAGATCCTATTAGAATCACCACAATTCATACGAATTCGGATACTCGGGATTTCATTATCATTTTATAAGATTTTGTTAGGATACTGAAAAGCCTGAGCAAAATTCTAGTAGGATACGTCGAAGTTCTCGTCTAGAAATTCATAGGTCTCATACTAGAGTAGTTCTTCAAAAATAACGGGTGAAAAATACACAAGATGAAAAGAAATCTGTCTATTTTGTCTCGAACTATTTTTTATATGCGAACAAGTGAATATTATATGATAGAACAATGAAACCGCCTTTGATTAACCTACCATTTCAACTTCCTCTGTTAGACATCTTTAAATCTCACTGTATAGTTCGATAATGATGATGGAAAAATGACAATCAAATTGAGAAAGATTCAAAACAACTTGGTTTTTCAATACTTTTTTCTATAAACTATACATTCAAGAATTAGATTATCAAAAAACAATGGAAAAATGTTATGAATGATTCGACGATGTTCATTAGTAATGTGACCTATTTTCAATTGACTTGAACTTTTTCTGACAAATTTTGACGTGAAAATAAACTATGTTATGTAGTTTAAGTTTGAGAGAAATGTCTAATGTGCGAGAGTCTTATAGTATCACTGTTTTAGTCAGCCAATCATAAACATAGTAACACAACTGTGTACAAGAGCTACACTTGTCTGACTAAACGTACCTTTTGAATCTTTGAATGTGACAAGTCCATGTTGATTTTCATGATCTAATTTAACTTCTTTCACCTCACCACCGTCACTACGCTTTTTATTTGAGAAATATAAGTCTAAAACATCTTTTGAAATATCGTCGGGTAAATTACGAATCATAATTGTCGATGGAACATATACTTCACTAATCGATATTTCACTATTATTTAATGTTGGACGTGTTGAATGACGACGTTTTACTTCTTGAATATCTAAATAAACAAAAAATTGTCCTTTGACTAAGAGAGTACTTTAATTATGAGAATACTTATCATACCTAACTCCTGTTTAAATGTAACCATTACTGTAGTGTCACATTCATTACTATAATCAATTCGTTCAATTTCAGCTTCATTTGCTAAATTTTCAATATAAAGTTCCAAATATTCTCGAATAATATCTGTCGGTAAATTAAATAAAATCAATCGACGAGCATCTATGTCTTGTAACTTCATTTTTTGTGCTTTAATAGGCTGTTGATGAAACTGATTAGGATTCATCGATTTTACTAGAGACAAAAGAGAATGAAGAAGAGTATTAATACATATAGGTATAAAGAAATATAGGTGAATGTCATATAAGATTAAAATATGCATAAATAATGAACGCTTAGATAACTTTACCATTTTAGAGACCACCCTGTCAGAAATTTTCAACATACAACACGATATTCTAATCACATTTTTACAGAATGTTAGTCTTATCATTGATCAGATTAGATGAGGTTACGCATTTACGTTTGAAAACTTGAGTTTTTCTAAAGTTATCTTAAAAATAGGTGATAGAACAGAAACTACATAAATTAGATGTGTTTACTTAGATTCGATACAAAAACAAAAAGAATCTTTGTTTCTATTTTCGAAATAACTGCTGTCTATTTCTATAATAAAATGACAACAAGATGACTTGTGGTTATGATCTAACAACGTGGGATTTGTGAAATTTTTTATTAGTTATTTTTCACAGAACTTCACATGCTTTACTTTTGCTAGTTTTTTCAGGAATCTTTATTTTGTTCTAATACTATGACAAAAAGTCGAACTCTACGTCTATTAAGATATAACCGAAGTTATCTCATCATCTTAAGACCTATACGAGTCTTGAATCGTTTAAAATAGAGGAGAAATTTGAGAAATGGCAACATCTACTTTTCAAGAAAGAAATTTTGAGTAAAAAACTCGTCCAAGTAAAAAACTGTAGCGCTTTTGTAGCAGCATATCCTCTACTATATAAATAAAAACTGTATATTCGAGTGAGCATATTCGACTGTTAATTAAAAGAGTATAAAACCCTCCTATTTCCAACTCATTTTTCCACTGATATATAATATTCTTGCAACATAATACTCTGTACAACAAACAAAAAACGAATATTTCGAGATAATGTCATTTTTCGATGTACTTTTAAAAAGTAATGAACACGTATTGAGGAAATAAAAAGACCATTTTCTTAGCGTCAGATGAACTTGGCTAAAAGTTTCTATAATTTATTTCAACATATTAATTGAGCTGAATGAAATATCTTGAATCTTTTCATAGTGAGACATTTTTAACGCCAATAATGTCATAAATTATGTCAGACAAAAATAATACAGGTCATTCTGTTGAAATATTCTGAATATAATTCTAGAATTTTTCACTTTCTTTCTATCTCGATAATTCAGTCGGATTATGTGGTTATTAATAAGCACCTTTTTTCTTGTGTTTCTTCTAACTAATCATCATTGTCTCGTTATATCGATAAATTCAACGCCGATAGTAGAATAGCTAGAGCAATATCTCAGTAAGAAGATATTTGAGATATTTCATCCAGTTAAACTATTAAATTAAGGTAAAATAATAATTAATTACACAAAATTTTATCCAAATTCATTTAACGTGTAGTAAATCAACTGTTTATTTTCCCTTCATACGTGTTTACAAAGTAATCCAAATGTGAGCTATGTAACCTTAATTCATTTTCTACATTTTTTGTAAATGTTCAGATGAACAACTCAATTACATCAAAGCGAAAAGGCAGACTTAAGTCTCAAGTATGGATTTTTGAAGTCCATCTAAATCCATATCTAGTAGGGATTTGCTCCGGTGGTTTAACTGTCGTTGCTAGCTCTAATATGCGATTGACTTTGATCATTGCATGGTTCTATCGTCTGAAATCCACTTTTTTGCAATAATTTTTTACAAATGGGAAAAGTTAATTTTTACGTATAATCTTACCTTATGCATCAGCACATACACTGGCCGCTCATTGTGATATGATTACGTTAGTTCTAGTTATCGTTTTTACCTTCTCTTTTCCTATACGATACATTTTAGTATATGACCTACTTGGTCTCTGTCACTCTCTCTTTCTCTCTCTCTTTTTGCTATGCAATAAATTTAAAACCGAACAAGTCAACCATGACATATCATTTGATATGAAATATCATTGTGCATTTTGCATCATAATCTCTCAATTTTATTCAACTTTATTAGTGCGTCAACATATCACAGACGCCTTATATCAACTGTAAACAGTGCACATCATCACTATCTAACATTGGCTCTCATATCATTAATCTCGGCCCAAAACTATTAGGATCTAAACAAGATCATGTCTTCTGAAAGTGTTTCATGTTCAGTAATAAAAAAGTAATATCGTTCTACAGTACATAAATATTACAAATCAAAAAAACTGTCATGTTAATGTTTTATTGAAATTTTCATATTGTACTTATATTGTTTATTTTTAGATAATTTTTTTGTCTGTTTGAATAGGTCTTTGTCCGTTCGAATAGTGTCTTTGTCATTTGCTTTATTCTTAGTATATCTAGAGTCAAAAAGCACGGAAAATTATCTTTATCCATCTAACTGATTTAACGATAATTGTTCAATTTCAAGGTCTACACAGCATCTTCATTTTTCCTTTCATTTCTTTCTGAAATTATATTTTTATATTACGATATAGAGGAAGAATGTGTACAACTGTATCCTTTATATCAATCAGATAAATATTAATGTCGAAAGAGTACTAAATAAAAGAAAAGTGCTCCATGGACAATTAAATCGTTCATCATTATCACATATTGTTATTAATTTCAATTACACCTTTTACTGTAAGGATATTAGTTACTACAAAAATAAGTTCCGATTTTAAACAGAATTTTCAGGTCACATAAAAACATTAATGAAAAATATGAAGAGTTTACACGAGTTGACAATCAACTCAGTGAATATTATTTTTTTTCTTCTATTATTACAGTGCTTAATATCCTTAGCAGCAGTATTTGCACACATGACTCAGCTTATCACATAAAGCTATAGACTTAACGTATGTTTAATAATAATCAAATAGTAATCTCTACTAGTACTGGTAATAACACTGTCCTGGATATAGTTGCAATAGTCTAAGTTATCTTTGCAAATGATTATTCATTATTCCGTTTTAGACGGGTGATTACAGACTTACTTTTCGTCCATAATCAAGACTAAATTCACTGTCTCATAATGGATTTATCAAAACTTTTGCGAAAAGGAACAATTACAGTATTTCTAAAATCTGATGAAGCAATACAACAGAGAAAAATACCTCTTACTATAAACATAATCTCTATTCGTGTCTTATTAATTGAGACCATTTTTTAATAAAATAAATTGACTAATTACAAAAAGTGGTCTCAAATTGGAAAGGCAGATGATCTTTATTCCACTTAAAATAGAAAGCGGTCTGTTTTATATACTACACTTGACAAACAGGTTCTCTTTCAATTTAGTGAATGCAGTGATGCAAATTCACAGATAGAGTATGAAGTGATGCAGATTGAATAGATTCATTTTTTACTTATACCTACTTACTGAGGACATATGGTATTATTATGCAGTTACATTTTTTGTTCCATTCTATACATATGATCTGTTGAACAATATCTAAGGTAAACGTGTATGGCTTAAAGTAGTATGAAGAATAAAAATTCGTCTCTTCTTTAAAAAAGATGTCTACCAGTTTCTCTTGAATAAAAACTCAAAGGATCAAGATGAAATCATATACAAGAATAATTTATATCGATTAAAACGTGCAAACAAAAACGGTACAGAAAAATGGATGTGTACCCATAATTCTTGTTCATGTTCAATCACGATTGAAAGTGATGCTATAATCGGTAGCAGTGGAAGTGACGGTAAAGATCAGCTCATGAACCAAAATTACCGTTGAATATTTTAGAATGTATTAGCAATATTAAAATAAATTTAATTAATTAAATAGCGAGTTTTAGAAGAAGCACCTACTCTGCTGCTGATGTACCTGTGTCTGATAGTGTCAAATCAATACTGTACACCACTCGTTTATGTGTTCACTCAAGAAAAAACATCCGCAACTGATTAGACGTTTTCGGCATAAAACCTAGTGGACTAGGAATAATCGATGGAGCTGAACTGGTTTTGGCTAATACTTTTGCCAAGATTCCGTTTTTCAGAAAACCAAGTCCCTGCAGCGAAAAATTTTTTTCACCAAAAAGTTTTTCTGATTCGTCTGTCTCGTACAGGATATTGAGAAACCTCTGGTACACTGGTTTTTAGAATTTTTAAAATGTTTTTGAACGATTTATAACGTCTGGAATTTGAAAGATTCAAGCGTAACTTAAAAGTTTCATCTTTAGCGCTCTCTACAAACGTTTGGAAACTTCGAAAAATAGTTTCCCAGAGCTTTCTCGATGTCCTCTATAAGATAGATAGATCAGAAAAACTTTTTTGTGAAAAAAGCTTTTCGCTGTAGGGACTTGGTTTTCTGAAAAGCGGGATTTTGGCAGAGGTATTAGGGAAAACCAATGTGATACTCGGATTCAGCGCCATCGATTAGCCCTAGTCCACTAAGTTTTACGCTAAAACGTCCGATCCGGTGGGGATGTTTCCTCGTCAGTTCTGTTCAACCAAAAGATTTGCAGTAGTACCGATATACCACATCATACGACATGTACAGCTCTAGATGAATCTAGAGCTGCAGATAAAGTACTGAGATGACTAGCAATCACAGGAATAAATGTTGTAAGGAGAAAACGTTGTTATTTAATTCCATATGTAGAAACTAATAGAAATATCTGAACAGTTTTCAATTTGTTTGTCAGATAGATTGAAATATGTAATGCTATTTGACCACTAGTTGAAAGACCAAAATTATAGCAAGTACACAACCGTTCATTTGAAAATATAGAGTGCGCTGTTCTTGTTTGATCGTGCGTAGTTAAAACGAGTACATCGATAGGTTATGAGGTTTTTTATTGGAACACTGCGGTTACAGATAGGCCAAAGTGTCATCTATCGATCGACGTAAGTCTGAGGTAGCAAGGTATCGTGGTCCGACATGCGAGCTGGTGTATAACACTAACAAAAAAATAAAGTTGGCTTTGAGTATTCAGCACACTCGATAACCCAGAAGGTTTTCTACTTTTGGCTAGGAATACTTCCAAAAGCTTAGGAAAAATTTTCAAACAAAATGGCATCAAAATATTGCCGTGAGAAACTAATATTAGTTTGAAAATTTTTCCTAAACTTTTGAAAGTACTCTTCGCCAAAAATAGAAAACCTTCTGGGTTATTAAGTGTGCTGAATACGAAGAAGCACTTTGCAGCAACTCAAAACCAACTTTTTTTTTCCGGTGATATGTTTGATGGATCCTACCTATCTCGTTATTTCCGTGCAGGAATTTTGACAATAAAAATAAAAAAAAACATAGGTTACTGATCACATTGATCTTCGTGGTAATGTTTATTTTCAGAAGGAAATTTAAAAAAACCAGTAATAACTTGTATTAAGTGGAATAGACCAGGTCTGACTATTTTCACGAAAAATTAAAAAATTGAAAAAGAGTTTGGAATAGTTGAAAACAGTTACTATTAGGAGTAGTAGAAAGAAACATTCAAAAGAATGTTTACAAGATGAGCAACTAATTGTATTGTCATAGCTGACGATAAATGGTTTCCACATAGTCCAAAACAAACCCGTTTTATTGACAGCTTCATTTGTGTTAACTTTTGAACGTGATCCTATTACTCGCAAACGGTTCACGCTAAAATTATCCGAGTAAATTATGAGAATAATTGTACAAATAAGTTATAAAATAGATTTCCAATGTTCATTGCAAGAAGAATGGTTTAATGTAATACATTCAATTTAAATATAATATGAAACCAGATGATGGGTCAAAGATGGAACCATGTAGATGAAAATAATCCTATATTTAATTGCTTAAGCAAAAAATTTGTGAAGAAACGACACTACTATTACAGTCTATTCAACTTCATTTAAAATGTGAGTTTTACAAATAAGTAGTAACTATACTACTTGTGGCAAATTTTCGATAATCATAGTGACAAATTGAATTTCTTCATTTGAAGGTTGTACGGCAACAGAGGATATCACAGGCATATCAAGAATATCTCTGTAAGATCTGGGACGTTGACGCAAATCTTGTTTCAATCTAAAGAAAAATATTAAGCATTTTTACATACGACGATCATAATAGACTTAAGAATTAAGATAATTGTGACGAAAAAGAATTTTTCTTCTCAGGTTTTGTTTTGTACTCGAAACATCTTTCAGAAAATTACTTTTTCTATTACAAAAACAAATGAGGTGGATTAAATGATATTTCATTTAAGACCGTAGTGCTTTACCTGAGGATACTGGGACAGTAGAGAATAATGAGTCTGAATATAAATTTTCAAATGACTTACAGTAGTGAAATGAATTCTCTAATATCTGGTCCGAGAGTTTGTTCAGGAATTTGTGGTTGCCATTTCTGAATTTTATCATATAATTCAAATATTTTATCATTCACAAACGGTTGACTTCCCGTTGCGATTTCAAACTAGAACATCGAGAGATAAAATCTGATTGTCTGAAGGTTAAATCTCTCTCTCTATATATAACGGGTGGGCCATAAAAATGTACCTCTCAGTATTTTGCTTATAACTTGGTTTGGATTTGTTTCCGAGACTCGATGTTTTTTTAAACGATGCACTGCGAAATTCTCTACAAAATCATACCTAAACTATAATTTCAGAACTTCAATCAAGAAAACTAAGCCAATTAGATGAAAGTCGAAATAAATGTAAACTTTCTAAACTCAAAAATGACGTCGTGTATTCACGTTTTGAAAGTAAGAAAAACTGAACTAGGCATTTTGTTGTCCTAGTTTCGCTCTATCTTTTAGCTACACTTCAAAACTTTTCACATCAAAAGCTACAGCGAAAAATAGTTTCTCTATCGGTTGCCATGCATTTTTTCATTAATTTTCTAAATTTTGGGTATAGTAGTGTTTCCAGTAAAAGCCCCGTAACTTCAATCATCTTTTCCGTTTCTTGATTTAACACATTGTTTGAAACAGGGAGGTTGTCAACTTCTGATGTATTTTTGTAACTTCGTTTTCGAGCACACCATCTGCTCTAAAAAAAGGTTTTTTACAGTCCACGAGAAAGAGCACATTTGAAAGTATCCAAAATAAACTGAGTTCTCACTTTTGCTACACATTTTAGCAGAAATAGTAGCAGAAGAAAAAGTTCAAGTCGAAAAAAATTTTGAGTTGAGAAAGTTTACATTTATTTCGACTTTCATCTAATTGGCTTAGTTTTCTTGATTGAAGTTCTAAAATTATAGTTTAGGTATGATTTTGTAGAGAATTTCGCTGAGAAAAAATACTGAGAGGAACAATTTTTATGACGTACCCGTTATAGAGAGAAATGTTATCCAAATTGCTTAACTTTTGCCAATTAATCACGATTTTGATAACACGGAA